TCGCCTACAGAACGTTTAAGGCAAACTACTACTGCATCTGCTGTGCGAGATGATCAAACGGAAACATATCATGTTGGGGAAACTACAGAAAGCAAAATTGGAACAACTGAACAGCCCCTTGCTTCTGAGACTGGCGGCAGCACAGAAGGACTTGGTGCCTACACGCCTACAGAACCAACAGCCCCTAGTGCAGAAACGGCAACGTCTACAGAACGTTTAAGGCAAACTACTACTGCGTCTGTTGTGCGAGATGATCAAACGGAAACATCTCATGTTGGGGAAACTACAGAAGGCAAAATTGGAACAACTGAACAGCCACTTGCTTCTGAGACTGGCGGCAGCACAGAAGGACTTGGTGCCTACACGCCTACAGAACCAACAGCCCCCAGTGAAGAAACAGCAACGCCTACCAAGCATTTCAGGCAAACAACTTCTGCCACTGTTGTGGGAGATGATCAAACGGAAACATCTCATGTTGGGGAAACTACAGAAGGCAAAATCGGAACAACCCAACAGCCAATTGCTTCTGAACCTGCCGGCAGCACAGAAGGACTTGGGGCATACACGCCTACAGAACCAACAGCTCTCAGTGCAGAAACAGCAACGCCTACAGAGTATTTCATACATACTACTCCTGCGGCTGCTGTTCAAGATGATCAAAAGGAAATATCTCATTTTGGAGGAACCACAGAAGTAAAACGTGGCACAACTCAACAACCAATTGCTTCTGAAACTGGCGGCAGCACAGAAGAACTTGGGGCATACACGCCTACAGAACCAACAGCTCCGAATGCAGAAACGGCAACGCCTACAGAGTATTTCAGACAAACTACTCCTGCGGCTGCTGTGCGAGATGATCAAAAGGAAATATCGCATTTTGGAGGAACTACAGAAGGAAAACGTGGCACAACTCAACAACCAATTGCTACGGAAACTGGCGGCAGCACACCAGGATTTGTAGATTACACTACTACTGGCGAGACAGTCCCCAGCACTAAATCGGCAACTTCTACAGCATTTCCATCGCAAACTGCTGCTGCAACTACTATGGAGATTGGGCAACCTACAGAAGGAAGGCTTGGCACAACTCAACAGCCAATTTCCTCTGAAACCAGCAGCAGCACAGAAGAACTTGGTACATACACTACCACAGAAACGGCATCGCCTATAGAGTTTTCACCTGCACTGGAAGGGCAATCAACTTCTCGAACTTCCACCGCTTCTTTGCCACCTACAGTTTCTGGGGAAGTAACAAAACCAGTTGGTCCAACTACAACTGAACATTCCTTACCTGAAAGCTCAGATCAGCAACCGACTACAGCGACAGCCCACCATACTACTGAAGTGGACTCTTATGAAATCAGGCAAAGTACAGTGGCATCAGGGCAACCAACGACTATCGAAGAAAACGAAGCTGTTTCCACCACACCAGGAACTTTGGTTGCATCGTCTACAACGCCCTGGGGAACTACTGAGCAAACTTCGCCCCAATCTGAAGCTGTTACAGCTTCAACAAAAGCAAGCCCAGAGCTGGTAGCGGCAACAACAGGCACGACCTTTGAAAGTGAGTTCGTTACCACACAGTATCCCACTCAACAGTCCAAAGCAACAGAAAAAGGGGCCAAGATTCCAGAGTCCAGTTCAGGAGAACCTACTGAAGGTTTAGAACTGAGTACTACTGGGGTTGAAGCTGAGCAAACTGCTACTGAGGGAATCATCCCCAGCTACACAACAACTTATTCAATGAGGACTGAAGGAGCTGAAACTAGGCATACAACTGAATGGGACAATGGCAAAAGTGAAACGACAAGTAGCTTAGCTACTGAAGCCACGCTTGTAACCGGTTCTACCTCGACAGCAACTACAGAATACATTCCGACTACCCGAGAAGCAACAGAAAGTGAATTGAGTGCGTCCACTAAACCAGCAGTATTTGAAACCTCCTCAGATCAAACTTCGCATTTCTTTACTTCTCCAATTGTAACGTATGTTTACGAGCAAACTTCCATCAAATCTTCAGGTTCAACCTCTCCAGTTTTTCCTGAATATAGTTCTGAAAGCCTGGTAACTGAAACTGGAACTGAAGCATATTCACACACGCCGATCTCCTCTATCACCGGCCAGAACGTACAAAGTACCACTCCTGAACAAGAATCAACAGCGAGTGAAAAAACCGAAAAGAGCGAGTTGATGGAATCAACAAAGGAATTAGCAAAAGAAACTACCACACAGATGATTCTCACCACTGAAAAATTGTCGCGGTCTTCATCAGCTATGGAAGAAGGCACCAGTACTGCATTTACTCCTGAAGAAGCATCAGAAGGCTCCTCTGAACGCGTTCCAGGAGTTCCAACTGTTGAAGGAATAGCTAAGGAAGCCACAACATTAGCTCACGCTACTAGAACTACAACGCCAGCTTTTAGTGCTGCTTCTGAAGCAGGGGGAACATCAACTTTCTCATTTAAAGAAACTTCTGAGTTTGGCCCAGAAACATTCTCAACAACTGAAGAATTGGCGAAGCAAACAGCGACTTCCAGTTATAGCTCTGAGGGACCTTTACAGTATACCACGCCTGCTGAAGCTCCGTTTACTCATGGCACAATGGGTGAATCAATGATAACTTCAACAGCTTCTTCCAATCAATCTACTACACTAGGATTTGTCACTGAAAAGGCTTCAACTACCTTGGAAGCGGAAGTTTCCAGTAAAACAACCACCGTAGTTCCAACGACAGAAACAAAGCAACTATCCACAGAACACCCCGAAAGGGTTTCAGAACTCACTCCCGGGGAATTCTCAACTTTAGCGTCTGCTACAGAAAAACCTTTAGAGAACTCCAAGCCCTCCAAAGCCACCTACGCTGATACTACAACATTGAAGGCCGAGGAAGCATCAACCGTTTCTACCAAGAGTGTCTCTGAAGTAACGCTGCAAATTTTTTCAACTACACAAGAACTTGGACAGGAACAAACCACATTGCGTTTTACCACAGAAAAATCTTCCGAATATTCACCGTTACCTTCAGGGTCACCTACAGGTGCAACAGGAACAAGTACTTATGAAGGAACGACAGTGTCTTCCTCTGCAGAATCAACAGTCTCTTCTAAAGAAGCGTCCGAGACCAGCTCAAGTGAGGTTCCTCCAGCTGAAACCACCCAAACTTCAACGTTACCATCTAACGAAGCATCTAAAACTACACCAGAGAAGCTCCCAAGTGAGGAGCTTGAAGAAAAGTCAACTAAATCGGCATATACTACTGAGAGTTATTCACAGTATTCAACCTCTACTGGTTCAACCGGGTCTGATGCTTTTGAGGCTTCAACTACTGAATCAACGCACACGACAGCAACATCAACAAAAGAGCCCTATGAGACTCCAGGAGTAATTTCAACAATGCAAGGAATAGAAAACGAGGCAACGACTCAACAATACGCAACTTCTGCAGAGGCTGGTGTCACTGAGACTGTAGAAGCCATTCAAAGCCCTACAGTACCAGCAATGGAAGCATCTGAACCTGAAAACTCTACAATCCCAGGCGAAAAGCATGCTACTGAAGAGTCAACACTAACAACCGCTGCTGGTACGGAAAATGCAAGAGTTGCAACTTCAACTGTGGCTCCAACTACTGAAGAAGTCCAGAGGTCTACGTTGCACACTACAACTGAACATTTGGCATCAACTACTGGAATTTCTTCTCAATATTCAACTTCAACGGAAGCTGGCTTGACTGGTACAACCAAACCCAACGCTTATGAAACCACGTTTACAACTGCGCCGAAGTCCAGCCCTGGAGGCTTATCAACTGTCCAGGGACTTGAAAGAGAAACAACCTCTTCTGGACCAGCATTCTACACCACAAGACTTCCAGATGAATCGCAGACTACTGAGGAAATAACCACGAGTTCTGCTGAGTCTTCTGAGCATCCTTCTACATCCAGCACCGGTGGATTTTGGACAGTTCAGCAAACAGGCAAGATTTCTACAACTGCTGAAGAAGGTTGGGAAACCACTGAGCGAATGATTAGCTCTGCACCTTCCACTTGGACGCCTACAACGGGATCGACTGAATCCTCTGAAAGAACCTCAACAAACGGACCGTCTACGGAAATGCCAATTAGCTTCGAACCAGACTTTGGAACTAAGGAGCCTTCAGCCACTGAGTCAACCAAACTCACTACCCCGGATCAGAGCACTGTTTCCAGTGGAACAAGAGCTTCGTCCATCGTGGAAGCCACTACTAAAGTTTCAGAAGAATCCATCGCACCAACTTCTGGTGGTGCTTCAGAAATCTCTTCCAGAGAGCCTGAAACTACCAGAAGGATCACTACTGAAGAACAACCCAGTTATTCCACCACAGTTGAGGACACGAAATCTACTTTAGCCTACCCGGCCAGCACTTCTGAGGCTGTAGAGCCTACTATACAACCATTACCTGGAGTAACTTCAACTACTGAAAGTGAGGGAAGGGGGTCGGAGTATTCCACTGCTGGAACAATCAGTACTATCTCTACATTGGGTGAAAGTACGACATTTATGTCCCCTGGAACAGCTGCAGAGCACGAAGTGACTACTGGTTTAGAGGTGGAATATGGGACTGTCACTGTAGGAGTAGGAACAACTGCATCTTCAGCTACAGGTGAAATCTTACCTAACGCTGCCACTGAAGAGCCTGTGAGCGAAGGTGGAAGTACGGAATCTACCCAGGGAAGTACTGCGGAAAGATCCACTAGTAGAACTGCTGAGGGCATGTTTGCTAATAAGGGAACTAGCCCGAGTCCACACGAGCCTACCACAGGTTACACCACGCTCGTGTCTACAGAGAAAAGCAGAGAAACCCCTGCCCATCAACCTTTCAGTACATCTAGAGAAACAACTACTGGCGGTGAAGGTTCAACCACTTTTGGCGCCACAGCGGCTCCAAAGTTGGTGACTGAGAAACCGTTTGTAGGTACTCAGAAGACGTCTGAGAGCACTGAGGAGCCATTGACGAAGTTAGCTACTGAGCAAATAATCACTGAAAGACTCACAACAGAAGTCGGGGAAACCACTACTGGATCCGGAAAGCAAAATGCAACCTCTGATCTTCCAGAAGGCATAACAACGGAAAATGTTAGCGCTTCTTCTGAAGCTGCCAGTGGGACAACGGCGCACGCTTTGCCGCAAGAAACTCTTTCGTACAGAAATAAGCAGAATGGGGATGAGTTTACTACGTACTATCCTTCGACCCTGTCTCCCACTACTGAGAAGTACTTTACGGTCTTTGAAAAGGAATCTTCCAGCTCGGGTAGGATTCCCTCCATGGATGCACTCATGCCAACTGGCGCGTCCTCCTGGCGTGAAAACCGCACAACCCCAGCTCCTCCTAGTTATACTGCAACTATGGAGACTGCAGCCGGTTTCACTGTTGAAGCAGTTACAGTTAAGTTCCCGCAGACTGGGATTCCTCCAGTTTCAACCACTGGAAGGCCAATGGAAATGTCTCAGCAACCCCCCGGTAGAACATTCAATCCAGTGGAAACTTCTACGGCAACAACTCCCTTGGTTCACTCGATCACTTTCACTACCCCTACTGGGGAACCGGAGCTGAGCACCACTGAAAGCTATAGGGAAACCACCACCATCAAGTATCTGGGGGATGTTTCCACGTTCAGCACGGTGCTTTCAACTAAAGAAGTGGAGGAAATTGTGACTTTGGGTAGAACTACCATCAACATCGGCCAAAACGAGGTGGTGGAAGTCACAACTCCTGCCTATACCATGCAGGAGGCCGCTTCTACTACCGAAAGTGCACGCGGAGGCACTGAGGCAGTCAGACATACTGTTCAGATGTCCACTGAGCAACTGGAGGAATTGACCACTGTGGGAACCACTACGGTCAGCAAAGTGTCGCAGCATGAGGAGACCACTCAACAATCGGAGCTCAGAGAGCCTACGGATTATTCTACTGAAGCACTGGAGATTGCGACGGAACCTACTACACTTTCAGCCACAACTGAACCAGTTTTAACCACAACGGTTGTAATCGCGACCAATCACAGTGTGATATCGATTAGCAATTACACCAATGGAATAACAAATCGCACGGTAGAATGCCTCGTCGACAATGATTGCGAAGACGCGGACGTCTGTATATTTAAAAAGTGCATTAACGTGTGCACTATCGGAGGGTTATGTGGTGCTAACGCCAAGTGTACTGCAGAGAATCATGCAGCTGATTGCACTTGCCCGCCTCACCATTACGGGGATCCTCACAGGATGTGCTATCCAGGTATTGTAATATTACTCAAGTTGCAAGCTGATTTCCGTGCCATTGTGGCAGCGGAAACTGAGATTTATGCTACTTATCAAAAGCGAAAGTTTGGCGAGAATTTCCAATCCGGTTAGAAGGACCATTTTTTGCCGTTGAGTTATTTGCGTGGGCCAGAAAAATCTCAGTGTCCACTCCCACTATGCGAACGTTCAGAAGGTATCATTGATTTGTATGATTTTTGTATGTAAACAGTTGTAATTCTAGATTGATTTAACCATTTAGCACAATGTTAATCAATTACAGTTACGGTGAGCTGAAGGGTGGCGCTCCTCCCTCCAAGCCACAGACTCTGAGATTGCTTCAAAGCCAAACAAGTCCTTTGAGGAGCGCCAACCTTTTTTGCATGGTTGTGGTGTGCTGATAAACAAAATAGTACAATTAATGTAAATACCGCGCTACATTTCAGCAACGTGAAAGACCCCTTAAGCCCCCTTAAAGCTCATGTTGCATTAATGTACTAAACTGTACTAATTCAGTTAACATTCCTAATAGAACCACCTGGCGAAAGGGCGCCCAAACCTTGCGAGTCTGATATGGACTGTCTCGAGTCAGAGGCGTGTTACATGTCCATTTGTCAGGATCCGTGCGAATTTACCAGTGCCTGTGCGGCAGGGGCGCGTTGTCAAGCTAAAATGCACCGGCCCATTTGCACTTGTCCAATGGGATTTGAAGGAAACCCGGCTATTAAATGTTCCAAATCGCCCACAAGTAAGAGCGCCTTCGTTTTGCCAAAGAGCCATGCTGCCAGTCATGGACTGTTCCACCACTTTAGCCTGATAAAGGTCATCTGATTGGGTAACCGAACGCAAAGCGAGGCCCCTTGAACATTTTCCCACTCCCCTTTATCACCAGCTTTCTGTTGATTGAGTGGAGGCTGGTCTGAATTGAGCACGCTCCACTTTGAGATATGAGAAATAGGCCGCGCCTCGTCCTTAATCATTGCTCAAGTTGCGGAACACCCATAACTCAGCATGGCCCCCAGATGTACATATACGAACAATGTGTCAACGCCAGCAACAATTGACTAAAGACCAAATAAACCAAGTAATGATTAATCAACCAATAACAGTAACGTTTAACCCCGTTTTGAAAAGCTTCAAAATTAGTACAAAAGTTCCAGCCAGTTAGCATCTCGCATAGTTTGGCCCATTCTCTATGTAAATACGTTGATGTAAATTCGATGTTCTTCTTTGTTGGGCGCTGTATTTCCCCAATGTTTAATGTAAATACTTATCTTACGTCTTTTGCGTCCTCTCCTCCGCACCTTCTTCATTAGTGGGTTGCACAGCAAACGAGGACTGTCCTATTAGTGAAGCATGCATAGATAGAGCATGCCAAAGACCTTGCGATGTCCATAATCCTTGCGCGCAAAACGCCGTTTGCATCAACACCAACCACGGATGCGACTGCAGCTGCCAGGAGGGATACCAAGGGAATGGTTTCGTCGGTTGTGCACCTGGTGAGGCACAGTACGGCGTAGGCTCGGCCTGTTCACTACCCCTGAAATTTCCAGTTGCCGATAACGGTCCCCCAGTTTGCCAATACAACGAGGACTGTCCTCCGAATAAACTCTGCGATCGTTTGAACAGAAGATGCATGAATCCCTGCTTTGAAGACTCTTGCGGAGAGAACGCGGAGTGCGTTCCCAAGAACCATGGGGCGACTTGCGTCTGCCTGCCAGGTCAGTTTAGTGTTTCCCACTTTACTAGCCCAGTCAGTGAGTAATTTGGTTATTGCCTACTAGGCTATGAGGGAAACGCCTACGTGGAGTGCCTAGGAGTCTTAGGATGCAGACGCGATGAGGAGTGCGCTTCTAACGAAGCCTGCCTCAACCAGCAATGCGCCTCACCATGCAACTGCGGAATCAACGCCATATGCGACGTGATCCAGCACAAGCCCCAATGCCAGTGCCCCCCAGGGTATCAAGGCGATGCGCGAGTGTCTTGCCAACCGCCCTCTGATCCATGCGACCCCAACCCATGTGGCACCAACGCGCTTTGCGAGCTGGACAATGGAAACCCCATCTGCTTCTGCCCGAAGGGCCTCACTGGAAACCCATTCAAGAACTGCAGTATGTTTCCCTTAAAATCGCCCCCCTACAAGTGTACTAGCGCTTTGTTTCCAGTTCCAGAAGGCGATGAGTGTTCCCCGAATCCTTGCGGCCCCAACTCCGGCTGCCGAGTGGTTGGAGGAAACGCCGTCTGCTTCTGCCTGCCGGAGTTCGAAGGCACGCCCCCCCAAGTGCCATGCAGTTTGCCCAGCAATCCATGCGATCCGTCGCCCTGCGGGCCCAACACTCAATGCTCCATATTGGCCAATGGCTTTGCCAAATGCACCTGCCTGCCTGGTTTCCTGGAGAGTCCCAACACCATCAGAGGTTGCATCGAGAGCAGAAACCCTTGCGAGCCCAACCCGTGCGGGGCTGGCGCCCTTTGCGACCCGCACGGGGAGCCTGTGTGCTCTTGTCCCTATGGAACTAATGGAAATCCCTTCCGGGGCTGCGCCATTGAGAAGCCCTTGTGCAGTCCGGGGCCTTGTGGGGCTAACGCGGATTGTTACAACTCCAACAACGAGGAACAATGCTTTTGCCGGTCTGGATTTATTGGGGATCCCTACACTGGCTGTAGGATTCAGCCTCCGAGTCCTTGTGTGCCGAATCCTTGCGGCCCTGGAGCGCAATGTGTGATCACTCCCGATGGAAACTCTTTGTGCCGCTGCCCGGAGGGCATGGGAGGTGATCCGACCGGGCCTCTCGGTTGCTTCGGCTATGAGTGCGTGGTGGATGAAAACTGTGGCGATCACCAGGCCTGCATTTCGTACAGATGTCGGGATCCTTGCCCAGGCTCGTGCGGAGTAAACGCCGATTGCCGCGTGGAGAAACACCATCCTGTCTGCTCTTGCCAGTCTGGGCTAACGGGAAATCCTGTGATTAGGTGCTTCAAGATACCGGAGATTCTTCCGCCACATGACCCGTGCATGCCCAACCCCTGCGGGCTGAACACTGTGTGCCAGAGCATCTCCAATCGCGCTGTTTGCTCCTGCCTACCAGACTTCCATGGGGATCCGCAGATCGGCTGCCAACCCGAGTGTCTGATCAACTCGGACTGTCCGATTAACAAGGCGTGTTTGGAGCGACATTGCAAAGACCCGTGCTCGCAAGGACAGCTGTGCGGAGTGAACGCCTTCTGCCAAGTTAGAGACCATACAGCAGCCTGTCTGTGTTTGGAGGGATTTATCGGAGACCCGTTCTTGCAATGCATCCAACCTCCCATTGAAGACACACCCAAGCATACCAACACCTCGATCCAGCCCTGCACGCCTTCGCCTTGCGGCAGTATGGAGTGCAGCATCTATGGAACGCAGATTGCTGTTTGCGACCCGTGCTTGGGCCCGGAGGCCGTCTACAACCCTCAGTGTCGGCCGGAGTGTTTGACCAATGCGGACTGTCCGTTCCACCAAGCCTGTATGCGGTTCAACTGCATCGACCCATGTCCAGGCTCATGCGGAGTGAATGCTGTTTGCTCTGTGGTTTCGCATACGCCCATCTGTAGCTGTCCGTATGGACTGGTCGGAGACCCGTTCCAGCAGTGTGTTCCTCTTACGATTGGTAAGTTGTTTGGCCTGTTGTAGGAGTGCGTGCTTAAGAGTGATTTTCTCTTAGATTCCCCCAAGGACAGTTGCGACTACCCGCGGTGCGGAGTGAACGCCGACTGCCTAGAGAAAGGAACCGGGGTGATCTGCGTTTGCAAGCGGGGCTTCTTCGGAGACCCCTATCTGGCCTGCCGCCCCGAATGCGTTATCAACCCCCATTGCCCATTGGACAAAGCGTGCATAAACGCCAAATGCTCCAGCCCTTGCAGCGATGTGTGCGGAGTGGGCGCTCAATGCGACGTGGTCAACCACATCCCCATCTGCTCCTGCCCCCCTCAACATACAGGAGATCCGTTTGTGGCCTGTTACAAGGCTGTAATCCCCAGCCTACCGGCGCCGGCGCCTCAAAACCCTTGCGACCCGACGCCTTGCGGCCCCTACAGCCGCTGCTCGGTTTCGCATCAAGGATACGCCACCTGCTCTTGCCTGCCCAACTACCAGGGCGTAGCCCCCGCTTGTAAACCCGAGTGCATTTCAACATCAGAATGTCCCCAAACGAAGGCCTGCATTAATCTGAAATGCGGCGACCCGTGCGCAGGCACTTGTGGGTCTGGAGCGGTTTGCACGGTGATCAACCACAACCCGATCTGCAGCTGCCCAGAAGGACTGGAGGGCAATCCGTTCTTGAACTGCCGCCAAGCGCCCGTGGTGGAAGAACTGCCATCTACAACTGAGGAACCGATAAATCCATGTGTGCCCACTCCGTGTGGCCAGAACTCGATTTGCCAGATAAAGGAGAGCCGGCCAGTGTGTTCCTGCATAGCGAATTACATTGGCAGCCCGCCCTATTGCAGGCCGGAATGCATGCTCAGTCAGGAGTGTCCTCAACATCAAGCTTGTGTGAACGAGAAATGCGTAGATCCGTGCGTGTCCAGCTGCGGACCGAATGCTCAGTGCCATGTCGTGGGGCACAATCCGTTCTGTAGCTGTTTATCTGGATATGAAGGTATGTAGCAACGTGCTTGGAGTGTGGACTAACGGGTGGTTTATTTATCAACACCGCGATGCTTTGCAGGCGATGCTTTTGTCGGCTGCACCAAAGTGGCTGTGGTGGCTGTAGACCCGTGCAACCCATCGCCCTGCGGGGAGAATTCCCAGTGCTCTGTAAGCGAGGGAGCGGCGAAGTGCGTCTGCATTCCCCCCTACATCGGAAACCCCTACTCTGGAGGCTGCAGGCCTGAATGCACCATCAACTCCGAATGTGCCACTCATCTGGCCTGTCTGTCGCGCCATTGCCGAGACCCTTGCCAGGGACTCTGCGGCATCAATTCCGAATGCAGCGTCTTCAACCACGTGCCAGTTTGCACTTGCGCCAGAGGCCTGGTCGGAGACCCGCAGACCGGGTGCAGGCCACCTGCAGTGGTCGAGAGTAAGCCACCTAATCAAAGAGTCCATACTTGACCAGCTAATTGTGGTACTTTAAGGGCCCAAGCCATGCGAGCCGTCGCCGTGTGGACCAAACAGCGTCTGTCGCGAACGCAATGACAAAGCAATATGTTCGTGCCAAGTGGGGTACTTTGGACAGCCGCCCAGCTGCAGGCCCGAATGCCTGGTGAGCTCCGAGTGCAGCTCAGACCAGGCCTGCATTAATCAGCGCTGCCAGGATCCCTGTCCGGGAACATGCGGCGCCAGGGCCCGATGCCAGGTTGCCAACCACAACCCGATTTGCAGCTGCCCGCCCAACTACGTCGGAGACCCTTTCATTGTCTGCAGACCAGAAGGTAAAAGGCTTCCTGAGCCCAGTGAACTGCTCAGCAGCTCAATGCATTTTCAGAGCGCGGGGAACCAACGCCCACTCCAACTCCATGCATACCATCGCCGTGTGGGCCGAACGCGGACTGCCAACCACTCAACAATCGCGCAGTGTGCTCGTGTCTTCCGGGGATGTTCGGCGTTGCGCCCAATTGCCGTCCAGAATGCTCCATTGACCAGGACTGTCCACTCACCTTGGCCTGCACCAATCAGAAGTGCAAGGATCCATGCGCGGGTTCTTGCGGCTTCAACGCCGAATGCAGCGTGGTCAACCATCGGCCCATCTGCAGCTGCCAGTCAGGGTTTGAGGGCGATCCGTTCTCCGGCTGTAATCCAGTTGCCGGTAAGTTTTTTGGGCATCTGCCGCAGTAGAGGGTTTTTTTTGGGGTCAACTGGGAATGTTTTGAGCCTAGAAGCACGTTGCTACCAAGGGGTATTGATAGTCTGAAAGATGCGTTTGAAATGTCCAAGAAGATAAATTGAACTGTGAAAGGGCCTCCATAAAGTTGTGATTTGGCTCTGCTAGATTTTTTTCTTGCGGATATTTGAGGTAGTTGGCGCTGATATTAAACACTAAACTTTCCCTTACTGAAATTAGGGAAATTGGGCTCATCACGCCCGCTTCTGTAGTCGCATCCGAGGTGGACATTTGAATCATCCACACATACATTTACTGCAAAATTAAAAGAAAGTTTGCAATTATTTTTGGCATTTTCTATAAGTCATTGTACATACTTTCCTGACTGTGTTTCAATTCCAAATCAAAATCAATTCCTGGGCTTCAGTCATTTATTGTCTATTTATCAATTAAAAAACGTTTCGGTGTTTTCCACCATCATCAGTTTCAATGTGTAGCGTTGTTGCTACACATTGAATTTTCTATAAGTAGACAACGACGTGCTTCTGGGGCCGAAATGTGCCATCAGAGAAACTGCAAAAATATCTAAATCTAGAGCGTAACACGGTGGCCATAAAGTTATTGCAAATCGTTTTGGGGCCACCCTGTACATTTGCTTTATATCGGAAAACTCCACCTAAAGTTCATGCACTACCCACAAGGGACTTCATCTACATTCATAAACCATGCCTGCCGAAACATTGTCATAAACTTGTGCATTTTCCTCTGTAGCTATCGACTCAATCTGCCTATTGTCTATGTGCATGTCTAGCATCTATTCAGCATGATTCTAAATCGGCGTTATTTCTATAAAACTGTTCAAAGAAACTGCAGAAATGCGGCAAAAGGAAAAAGTCTCACCGACTGCTGGGATATTGGCAAAAACCTAAGTCATAAATTAGGCAACAGTGTCGACGCCCATATTTAAATGGCGTCCTCCTCATTAGCATCGCGCAAAATTTGTTGCCCCTTCGTGCTTTTCAAGCCCATTTTCTCACCCCCTTGAACAGTCAGACTCTGAAAGCTGCCAGTTTGCAGGAAATAACCCCCATTTTGAACCATCCTGTGTGTAGACGTTGTTATTCTATTCCGCCTCTTGTAGTAATTGAAGAGCCGCGAAACCCCTGCAATCCATCCCCGTGTGGTTCAAATGCCGCTTGCAAAGAGCGTGCTGGTGCCGGCTCATGCACTTGCCTAGTCGGGTTCTTTGGGGACCCCTACAACGGGTGTAGACCTGAATGCGTAACGAGCAGCGAATGCGCCCACACTAAAGCGTGCCTGAACATGAAATGCACCGACCCCTGCCCTGGAACATGTGGAGTGAACGCCAAATGCTCCGTGATTAATCACATTCCCCAATGCTACTGTCCCTCAGGATTCTCTGGGAATGCGCTCAGCATCTGCCGCGAGAACGTGCCTTGTAAGGACCCCAACCAACAAGCCCCAACCTGCGTGTTTAACAGTTTTTCAACCGTTTCAGTGGTGTTTGAAGAACATAAACGCAACCCCTGTGTTCCCTCGCCCTGTGGCCCCTACAGCATTTGTCAGATTAGTAACGATCGGCCTGTTTGTTCATGTGCGGCTGGTTACTACGGCGCCCCGCCCACTTGCAAGCCCGAATGTATCGTAAACTCCGAATGCACTCAAGACAAATCGTGCAATAATCAGAAATGCGTGGATCCCTGCCCGGGAACATGCGGCATTAACGCCCTCTGCCGAGTGGTCAATCATAGCCCCATTTGTAGTTGTCCTACAAGTTTCACTGGGGACCCATTCGTTCGATGCCTTCCAGAAGAAAGTAAGTTCGAAACACCAGCACTTAACCCCCCAGACAATTAACCCAGAGCACTAAAATCTTAATGATAGCGAAATAAGAGAGACATTAATCCATTAACTGAGCTAAAACATTAAAACAAGTAATCAGCAACTGTTTTAGAACGTCCAGTTGATGTCGAAAACCCCTGTCTCCCCAGCCCTTGTGGCACATTTTCGGAATGCCGAGTTGTAAATGGGCGGGCCAGATGTTCTTGTTTGCCCAACTACTACGGTCAACCCCCCAATTGCAAGCCAGAATGCGTGGTTAACTCAGAATGCTCCCCCAGTAGGGCGTGTGTTAACCAAAAATGCAAAGACCCTTGCCCAGGCTCTTGTGGCGCCAACGCCCAATGTAGCGCAGTGAATCACGTCCCAGTCTGCTACTGCTTGGCAGGATTCACTGGAGATCCATTCTCCGGATGCCAGCAATGTAAGACCAGCAGACAATGGATGGTCTGATCCTCACCATTAAACGTTCTTTTAGTCACGCCCAGAGAGGAGCCGCCCCACCCTTGCAACCCTTCGCCTTGCGGCTCCAACGCCAATTGCAAAGAGCTGAATGGCGCTGGATCGTGCACATGCATTCCGGGATACTTTGGCGATCCATATACTAGCTGCAGGCCGGAATGCGTGCAAAACTCCGAATGTCCGATGGATCAGTCGTGCAACAATAACAAGTGCAGGAACCCCTGTCCAGGCACTTGCGGCATCAACGCGGAATGCCTTGTCAATAACCATCTGCCCAACTGCAATTGCTTGCCCGGTTTCACTGGAAATCCCGCATTGTCTTGCCATCCGATTCCCATTTCACGTAAGGATTTGCTGGGTTTTCTCCCCAGCTGGCTAATCGCGGGTTGATGGTCTGTATGTGACTCGTTCACTGATGGAAGGGCACAAAATAACCCGTTTGTGCCTCAAACGGGTTTTGCCAGTTCGAGGTTGTAGCATTGGGATCCTGGTCGAAAGCAAAAAATTGAATTTCTGATTGGGAAAAATGAGCAACTCTCGGTGCTCTCCCCACGTTCAAAACACCATTTCATCAAGCCAAGCATCACACGGGGCACCTTTGCCCTCAGTTGGGATCTCCAACGGTTTTAGACACCCCAATGCGAACAGCTCCAACCAAGCTCCTCCCCCATTGACAAACCCGACGCGATTTGCTGGCTGGGCCCAATGTCCCTAAGCCAAAACACTTATCCACCTTGCTCTCCTCAGCCCCAGTGGAAGAGCCGACAAACCCATGCGTTCCCTCACCGTGCGGACCCTACAGTCAATGCAGGGAGGTGAACGCACATGCCGTCTGCTCCTGCCTCCAAAACTATATCGGAGCCCCTCCAATGTGCAGGCCTGAATGTCTCGTGAGCTCCGAATGCGGCCAGGACAGAACCTGCATCAACCAAAAGTGCAAAGATCCATGCCCTGGAACGTGCGGGCTAAACGCGCTCTGCCATGTGATAAATCACAATCCCATCTGTAGTTGTGCGCCCGGATTTAGTGGAGATCCATTCATTCGATGTGTGGTCGTAGAGAGTAAGCTGGCGCAGCGTGAGTTTGGCCTGAGTAACGCTTGAAGTTTTAGAGCGCCCTGTTGAGGTTGAACCCTCCAATCCGTGCCAGCCCACGCCCTGTGGGCCCAACTCTCAATGTAGAGAGGTGCATGCCCAGCCTGTCTGCTCTTGCCTGCCCAATTACATTGGGCGAGCGCCCAACTGCCGCCCTGAATGTACTATCAACCAGGAATGTCCAGGAAATCTGGCCTGTATCAATGAGAGGTGCAAAGATCCGTGCCCGGGTTCTTGTGGGTTTAATGCCCAATGTGTGGTCACCAACCATTCGCCCCATTGCCACTGTCAAGCTGGATTCACTGGGGATCCGTTCAATGGGTGCACTTCCATACCAGTAGCTCTTCCCGTAGAAGAGGAGAGGACTCCATGCATTCCCTCCCCTTGTGGAGCCAATGCGGAATGTAGAGAGCGAAATGGCGCTGGCTCATGTGTGTGCTTGCCTGAATACTTTGGGGATCCATACACGAGCTGCAGACCTGAATGTGTGACAAACACAGATTGCGCCAGGGACAAGGCATGCTTGAACAACAAATGCAAAGACCCCTGTCCGGGTATATGTGGAATTAATGCTGAGTGTAGGGTTTCCAATCATTTGCCCTCTTGTTCCTGTTTTGATGGATACACTGGGAATCCTTCAGTGTCTTGCCACCTCCCGCCGCCAAGTATGTACCAAAAAGACTTCAAACTCGCCTGCAATCGCCACTTTTGCCCCCAGTTTCAGAGCCCAAAGCTGAACCATGCCAGCCCTCGCCTTGCGGCCCTTACAGTAACTGTAGGGTAGTGAATGAACACGCGGTCTGCTCGTGTCTTCCGAACCACATCGGCTCACCGCCGATGTGCAGGCCGGAGTGCATGATAAGTGCCGAATGTTCTCTGGACAAAACTTGCATCAACAGTAAATGCCAGGATCCATGTCCAGGAACGTGCGGCATAAACGCTCAATGCCGCGTGGTCAATCACAACCCCATCTGCAGCTGTTCGTCTGGATATACTGGAGATCCATTCATCAGATGCAACGCAGAGGAGAGTAAGTCTCACGCCTACCTGGGGGAAAACGGGGCCTAATTGCCCGTGGTGTTTACTCTAGGAAAACCTGAGCCGCTTCCTCCGGCCAATCCGTGCGTGCCATCCCCTTGCGGGCCTTATTCCGATTGTAGAGTGATCGGGAACACTCCCGCGTGCTCTTGCATCCAGAACTTTGTTGGGCGCCCCCCGAATTGCCGCCCTGAATGTTCGATTAATGCGGAATGTCCCGCGAACCGGGCCTGCCAGAATGAGAGATGCGTGGATCCGTGCTCTGGCTCATGTGGAGCCAGCACCGACTGCACAGTCATTTCCCATAGGCCTGTTTGCTCTTGCAGGGTGGGCTTTACGGGCGATCCGTTCTCTGGATGCATCCCCATACCAAGTAAGATCAATCAAGGTCTAGAGGTGCCCGGCCTCATGGTCCATGCGTATATTCAAGCAAATGTTCTCTGTCCTGCCCATTTCAGTCGCCGCGCCTGTAGAAGAGGAACGAAACCCTTGTAATCCTTCGCCTTGCGGCGCTAACGCCGAATGCCGAGAACGCCAAGGAGCAGGATCATGTGCATGTTTGCCTGAATACCTTGGAGACCCCTATACCGGCTGCAGGCCGGAATGCGTGACCAACAGCGACTGCCCAAGAGACCAGGCATGCGTGAGCAACAAGTGCAAAGACCCTTGCCCTGGAACGTGCGGGATTAACGCCGAATGTTCTGTGCCTAATCATGCTCCTTCTTGTTCGTGCCTGCCTGGATATACTGGGAACCCGTTCACTTCGTGCCACCTTCCCCCGCCTAGTAAGACCCGAGAGTTTCCTCCCCAGCAGTGCCCTAGTAAGGACGATTTTTTTAAGTTGTGGAAACCCCCGAGCCGGAGCCCTGCCGTCCGTCACCATGTGGGCCTTATAGCGTGTGTAAGAACGTAGATAACCATGCGGTATGCTCGTGTCAGCCCGAGTATATCGGCTCGCCCCCAGCCTGTAGGCCCGAATGCATGGTGAGCTCGGAATGCGCCCAAAACAAGGCGTGTCTTAACCAAAAGTGCCAGGACCCATGCCCTGGCACCTGCGGCATAAACGCCAAGTGCCAAGTGGTCAATCACAACCCCATCTGTAGCTGTGCAGAGAGCTACGTAGGAGATCCTTTTGTGCGCTGTGTGTTGCGACCAAGTAAGCCTGCGGGTGTACCTAGACTAACCCAGTTGGCCAATAACATCGCCCTTTCAGCAAAACCCGTGGAAGTGGACAGCGGCAATCCTTGTGTGCCCACGCCTTGCGGCTCTAATTCTCAATGCCGCGTGGTTGGGACGCAAGCAGCTTGCTCCTGCTTGCCCAATTATATTGGGCGAGCCCCCAACTGCAGGCCGGAGTGCACAATCAATGCGGAATGCCCCAGCAATCTGGCGTGCCAGAACGAGCGGTGCAAAGACCCTTGCCCGGGCTCCTGTGGGCCTTTCACTACTTGCATGGTGATAAAGCATGCTTCGGTCTGCCAATGCCTTTCCGGTTACACTGGGGATCCGTTCACTGGATGCTCCATCATACCAACTCGTAAGGGCTTTCGCCAACTCAACCGGCGATCTTTGGAAGTAAAGTCTTTTTGAAATTCTAGCTACTGTAACCGAACAACCTCGAAACCCTTGCAACCCTTCGCCCTGCGGGGCCAACGCGGTTTGTAGGGAAAGAAATGGCGCTGGCTCTTGCTCATGCTTGCCTGAGTACTTCGGCGATCCCTACACTGGCTGCAGGCCGGAATGTGTGGCCAACTCGGACTGCGATCGCAGCCGATCTTGCGTGAATAATAAATGTGTGGATCCGTGCCCTGGCACGTGCGGGTTGAATTCTGAGTGCTCCGTGATCAACCACGCTCCATTCTGCAGCTGCATTCCTGGATACACTGGCGAACCCACCAGCGCTTGCAAAGTGATTCAAGCCAGTAAGCAATACGCCCAACTGAAAATGCCTTCGACTGTTAACCGGGGGTTGTTTGTAAAGTTGTAGAAGAACCGCAAAATCCTTGCCAACTATCCCCTTGCGGCCCATATAGCGCTTGTCGGGAAGTGAATGGGCATGCTGTCTGTTCCTGCAATGTGGGTTATATCGGCTCTCCTCCAATGTGTCGACCCGAATGTGTCGTTAGTTCCGAATGCTCCCAAGACAAAGCCTGCGTGTCCCAGAAATGTGTCGACCCATGCCCAGGCGTATGCGGGCTGAACGCTCAATGCCGAGCAGTCAATCACAACCCCATATGCAGCTGCTTAACAGGGTTCACTGGGGATCCGTTCGTTCAATGCTCCAGAATCGAATGTATGTCAGCCTACTAACCCCTGCCAGTGCGCTTTAAACCGAGCTTTCTCTTTTAGTGCCGGCACCGCCCAAAACACCTGAAAACCCATGTATTCCCACACCGTGTGGACCGAATTCTCAATGTAGAATAGTTGGAACGCAAGCGGCCTGCTCTTGCTTGCAGAACTTTGTAGGTCGCCCTCCCAACTGTAGGCCTGAATGCTTGAGCGACTCCGAATGTCCCAATCACTTAGCATGCAAAAATGAGAAATGTAGAGACCCTTGTACTGGTTTGTGTGGCATCAATGCCCAATGCACTGTAGTTAATCACCAGCCCATTTGCTCCTGCTTCCCTGGATATACTGGGGAGCCATCTAGGTCCTGTATTTTGCCTCTCCAAGAGCCCCGTAAGCACTTTTCTTCTTGTTTCTTCATTTCCGTTTCATCTCATCTGCCTTGACTTGGGTGAAGGTGTTCAGACCATGCTAATGGACTTTTTTATAGTGACAGAAAGACCCCGAACGCCATGCTCTCCATCGCCCTGCGGGCCAAATGCCGAGTGCCGGGAGAAGAACGGGGCCGGCGCCTGCTTCTGCGCTGCCGGTTTCGAGGGAAATCCATACGATAGCGACAGAGGCTGCAGGAGAGAGTGCGAGGTGAACAACGACTGCAGCTCGGCCCTGGCCTGTGTGTCCTTCAAGTGCGTGGATCCTTGCCCTGGCACCTGCGGAGCTTTGGCCGAATGCCATGTTAACAACCACATCCCCACGTGTTTGTGCCCCGCTGGATATGCAGGAGATCCATTCTTCCAATGTCGGCTGGCGCCGACCGAACCACCTCCGGAGATTAATCCCTGCCAGCCCTCGCCGTGCGGCCCTAATAGCCAGTGCAGGGAAGTGAACAAACAGGCCGTATGCTCGTGTCTTCCGCAATACGTGGGCTCTCCGCCCAGCTGCAGGCCGGAATGCGTCGTCAACTCAGAGTGTCAACTGGACAAGGCCTGCGTCAATCAGCGCTGCGGCGACCCGTGCCCCAACACCTGCGGATTGGGCGCCCAATGCACGACAAGAAACCACAACCCGATTTGCGCCTGCCCGCCAGGATACACGGGCGATCCATTCACCAGGTGTTCGCCGCAGCCGCCGCCGCCGCCTGAGCCGACAACGGAACGCCCGCCATCCTGCCAGCCCAGCCCCTGCGGCCCCAATTCGATCTGCAAAATCATCGGGAACTCCCCCACGTGTTCCTGCTTGCAGGACTACATCGGGGCGCCCCCCAACTGTAGGCCTGAGTGCGTTCTGAGCTCCGAGTGCGGCAGTTCTCTGGCCTGCATCAATCAGAAGTGCCAGGATCCTTGCCCAGGCTCCTGCGGCTCCAACACCGTTTGCAACGTTCTCAACCACATCCCCATATGCAATTGCGCCGAGGGATTTACTGGGGACGCCTTCACCAGTTGCTATCAGATCCCGCCGTCTACCAAAGCGCCTGAACTGGATCCCTGCAACCCATCGCCGTGCGGGCCCAATTCTCTATGCAACGACGGCGTCTGCACATGTTTGCCTGAATACTTGGGCAATCCGTATGAGGCGTGCAGACCTGAGTGTGTGCTCAGCGCCGAATGCACCAGGAACAAGGCTTGTATCAGGAACAAATGCGTGGATCCTTGCCCAGGAACATGCGGGCAGAATGCGAGGTGCGACGTGATCAACCACATTCCATCCTGCTCCTGCCCGGATGGTTACACTGGAGATCCGTTTGTGAACTGTCGGGTTTCGGAGCCTCCGCCACCAAAGGCCCAGCCGTGCAACCCGTCGCCCTGTGGACCCAACAGCCAGTGTCGCGAAGCCAACCAACAAGCAGTGTGCTCCTGCTTGGCAGGCTACCAAGGCAGTCCGCCGGGATGTCGGCCCGAGTGCGTCGTTGGAGCAGAATGCCCGCAGGATAAGGCCTGTATCAACCAGAAATGCGTGGATCCTTGCCCAGGATCTTGTGGGGCTCGCGCCCGATGCGAAGTCCGAAACCACAGCCCGATCTGCAGCTGCCCAGAGGGCGATACTGGGGATCCGTTCCAAAGGTGCAGGCCCATTCCACCCGAACCGCCAGTGACCAGGCTGCCTAATCCTGAACCCTGCAACCCATCGCCTTGCGGCCCCAACTCGATTTGCAGGCCGGCGGGCGACAGCTACGCCTGCAGTTGCCTGCAGGGCTACATCGGCAACGCACCAAATTGCCGGCCAGAGTGCGTGATCAACACCGACTGTCCAAGTGCGCTCGCCTGCATCAACAGCCAATGCAAAGACCCCTGTCCAGGCAGCTGTGGGGAAAACGCCGAATGCCATGTTATCTCGCACGCAGTCTCCTGCAGCTGTCTGGCGGAATTTGTGGGCGATCCGTTCGTTCAGTGCATAGTGAAAACTGAGCCAATCAAGCCTTGCGAGCCGTCGCCTTGCGGCGCCAACGCCCAATGCAGGGAGCGAAACGGAGCTGGCGCTTGCCTATGTTTGCCCGACTACCAAGGAAATCCTTATGAGGGCTGCCGGCCCGAATGCGTGCTCAGCTCAGACTGCCAGCCCAACAAGGCGTGCATCAGGAACAAGTGCGCTGATCCCTGCCCAGGAACCTGTGGGGAGAGTGCGGAATGTTCTGTTATCAATCACGTGCCAGCTTGCAGTTGCCGGGCAGGGTCCACTGGGGACGCCTTCAGGCTTTGCTCGCCACTGCCAGTTGAAGGTAAGCTAAAAGTCCAGGAAGTCTCAGTTTTTTTACCCAGGTTTTTGCATCTTCAACAGAAGAGCCGTCCAATCCATGTGCGCCCTCGCCATGCGGTCCCAACAGCCAATGCCGCGTGGTTAACGGCCAAGGGGTGTGCTCCTGTTTGCCCGAATATCAGGGCGCGCCGCCATCGTGCAAACCCGAATGTGTCGTCAGCTCTGAATGTCCCTCAAATAGAGCGTGCCATAGATTCAAATGTGCCAACCCCTGCGTGGGAACCTGCGGAGTGGGCGCTAGATGCGAGGTCATCAACCACAACCCCATCTGCAGCTGCCCGACGGGTTTGACTGGAGACCCGTTTGCCAGGTGCTACGAACAACCTCCAGAGCCATCGCCCCGACCTGCGGCCAACCCTTGCGTGCCATCGCCTTGCGGACTTAATTCGGAGTGTCGCGACATCGGAGGCCAACCGTCCTGCTCCTGTAGGGCCTCCTACATGGGCGTGCCTCCAAATTGCCGGCCGGAATGTGTTGTCAACACGGACTGCCCGTCCCACTTGGCCTGCATAACGGAAAAATGCAAAGATCCTTGCTTGGGGTCGTGCGGATTCAACGCGGAGTGCAGAGTGCAGAACCACATTCCGATCTGCACCTGTGCTGAGGGCTTTGTGGGAAACGCCTTTACAGAGTGCGCACTCAAACCAGCCCCGCCGCCGCCCGAGAGGAAAGACCCTTGCAACCCATCGCCTTGTGGGCAAAACGCTGTTTGCGACAACGGGGCGTGTTCTTGCCTGGCGCTATATCAAGGGGACCCCTATGAGGGTTGCCGGCCGGAATGCACCATGAACACCGACTGCTCCCCAACAAAGAACTGTGTTAACCTCAAGTGCGTGGATCCCTGTCCAGGCACTTGTGGAGATCTGGCGATTTGCGACGTGGCAAACCACCTGCCCATTTGCAGATGTCCGTCTGACTATGAAGGCGATCCGTTCGTTAGCTGCCGCATTCGGCCGAGGATCCGTAAGTTGTCTGGTGATGTTTCGGCAATGAGGAGTTAACAAGTTTGCAAATTTCCAGCGCCTCAACCTGTGAACCCGTGCCATCCCTCCCCATGCGGCCCCAACAGCGTCTGCAAGGTGAACCACGGAGTAGCAGTGTGCTCGTGCCAGCAGGGCATGATAGGGAGCGCCCCTCAATGCCGCCCTGAGTGCATAGTGAGCGCTGAATGCGCCCTCACCCAAGCCTGCCTCAACAACAAGTGCGTCGACCCCTGCCCAGGGACGTGTGGAGTAGGCGCGCTCTGCCAAGTGGTCAACCACAACCCCATCTGCAGCTGCTCCTCTGGAAACACCGGCGATCCCTTCACCAGGTGCTACGCCGTGCCAGCGGCTCCAGGTAACTACCACTAGCTGCACATGTAGATGAGTGAGTTGCTACAGCGTTTTGTGTGTCAATTGCAGAGAACCCGCAGCCGTGCCAGCCCAGTCCGTGCGGTCCGAACTCAGTGTGTCAAGTGCGGGGCGAAAGTCCGGCCTGTTCGTGCTTGGAGGGTTACGTCGGCGTGCCGCCCTCCTGCCGGCCGGAGTGCACCATCAATCCGGAGTGTGCGAGTGTGCGGGCGTGCATCAATCAAAAGTGCCGCGACCCGTGCCCGGGCAGTTGCGGCGCTAACGCAGTGTGTTCGGTGGTGAATCACAGTCCGTTGTGCTCTTGTGTGCCGGGCTACACGGGCGACCCCTTCCGAGGCTGTTTACCAACTCCACGTAAGTTTGCCTTTAGGGTTCTTGATTTGGGTGCTGGTGCATGTGGTTGGGGGCGTCAAGGAGAGGTTGATTTTGAGTCGGAACCAGCCCCGAACGCTGGGTGAATGTGGCGGGAACACAGGGAATTCGAATTTCAAACCAGAACATAGTTTGCCAAAGTTTCCAGATAGCTAGATTGAGATGATCAACCGATAAATCAGTTGGTTTTTGTGCGCAGGCACTCAAGAATTCAACACTGTTTTTGTTTTGTTTTTTCAAAAAAACCTGTTTTGCTTATGGCACGGTCGTGCGTGAACATGAAACAGATTTCGTGCGAACTGCGTTCGTCAGAAATCGTGCGAAAAAGTGCGAGCGATCCAATTTCGCACGAACTCTTGGAAGGATTTTGTCAGATTTCGCAACAGGGGGCATCGTCCACTGGACGGTGTTTCCGATAGCTCGTACATCGCAATGGTTCGTCCAAATTCGTACGAGCGACTTCAGTTCTAGTAGAGAATCATTCGCTTCTTTTCGCACGATTTCTGACGAACGCGGCTCGGACGAAATCGCATCCAAAGAGCGATCGGCCTTAAGGCTCCAGTTTACTTGGCCGAAACTACCACAAATTACCATTCAGTCCAAGTGAAGAGTGGAGAATGTTTATGGACGTTTGATTTCTTCCGATAGAGCGCAAAAGTTTACGTAATTTCTTGAATCAAAGTTGCAATTAAAGACGGTAAATAATCCGAAACAAGCTACGATCGAGCAAGTTAAAATCGAGTGTCACAATTAGTTTCTTTTTTT